ACATTTATCTTAGATGTAAAAAAATTGAATCAGGTCCTCCTTGGTGGCGCAGCGGGTTGAGCACAGCCCTGGGAAGCTGTCCGCAACCTCTGCAGCACAGGTTCGATTCCCCGCCAGCCAGGGAGATTCCCACATGGCGCAGCAGACCTCTCCTGCCTCGCCCGCTGCTCCCCTCAGCAGTGTATTTTGGTCGGTCTGCCTGTTCTGTTCCCCACTCTGTCTCTGGTGAATCCTCTCACTCCCCCTTCACCTCTGGCCTGTACCCCAGCTCTTGTATAAAAATAAATAAATCTTAAAAAAAAAATGAACCAATAATAATCTTCCCTTGCAGGGTTCTGGCAAAAATTAATAAAAAAATATATACATATGGTTAGTGGTATAATACAAAACTAAGAAATAGGACATGTAGATATCTACAGATATATAATTAACTAGCTAGCTAGCTATGCTGAATAATAGAGCACCAAGATATACAGAACAATTAATAATAGAACTTGAGAGATAACTTATAACAAATGAATACTAGAGATGTTAATACCACTTACAACAATAGGTAGATCAACAACACAAAGTACAAATAAGGAAACAACAGCTCTAAATGAGCTAGACCAGAAGGTCTAATAGACATCTATACAGCACTTTACCCCAAAACTGCTGCATATACATTTTTTTTAAATGCATATTGAACATCTTCAAGAAGAGACTAGAGTCTCTTCTTGGGATACAAGTGAATTGTCAATAAACTCACAAAGACTGAAATTATACTTAGTACCTTCTCTAGCCACAATGTCATACAACTACTAAACAACTAAAGGAAAAAAAAAAAAAACTATGAATATGTGGAGATTAAACAACATGCTGCTTAATAGCATTTGGATAAAAGAGGAAATCAAAACAGAAATTGAAAAATGCATTGATAGGAGTGAAAATGATAATAGATGTCATTAGAACCTAAGAGATGTAGCAAAATATATCTTAAGGAGGGAAATGTTTGCAATCTAGGCTCATATGAAAAAGCAAGAAAAGTCCCAAATAAACAAGCTAATATCACACCTATAGCAACTTGAAAAAAAGGAACACATACATCTAAAGTTAGTAGAGGGAAGAAAATAATGAAATGAAAAGTAGAAATAAATGAACTAGTCACCAAAAATAACTACGGAAAGAAAAGACAATAAAATGCAGGGCTGATTCTTTGCAAATATAAACAAAATAGATAACCCCCTACCTAGACTAACAAAAAACAAAGAGAAAACATTAATAAACAGCATCCTTAAGGAAAGATGAGAAATCATTACAGATAGCACAGACATATAAAACATATAAGAGATTACTATGAATAGATGCCAATAAATTCAATAACCTCAAAGAAATGGATTACTTTCTAACCCAACCTAATCTACCAAGACTAAACCAGGAAGAAACAGATGGACTGAACAAAGTGATCACAAATGTGGAAATTGAAACAGTAATAAAAAATCTTCCAAGAAATAAAAACCCAGGACCAGATGGCTTTACAAATGAATTCTATCAGACTTTTAAAGAACTCGTGCCCATTTTGCCATTTTGCTCAGATTCTTAAAAAAAAAAAAAAAAAAAAAAAAAAAGAAGGAATGCTTCTTAATATATTTTATGATGCCATCATAACCTTAATATTCAAACCAGTCAAAGACAGCACAAGTAAAGAAAATTATAAACCAAAATTATTCACGAACATTGATGTAAAATTAATCAATAAAATTCTAGCAAATCAAATTTAGTAGTATATCCCAAGAATTATGCACCATAATCAAGTGAGGCTCATTCCAGGGATGCAAGGATGGTTTAATATATGTAAATTAATATAATACACCATATCAACAGAGGTAAAGGTAAAAATCATAGCTGCAGAGAAAGCATTTGATAGCATTCAAAACCCATTTATGATAAAAACCCTAAACAAGATGGAATGCGGTTATAAAAATCAAAGAGGGGAAAGGTATATAAAATACTATGTCTAGGTACATAGTGACTTCTCGACACAATATTCCATAAAGCACATGGAGTTCCATATGTATATCAATCTCTTGTCATTTTAATATACAAAAATCTATTGGATATTGCTATTCATGAAATTGGCAGTCATTTTATTGTAAGAGAATTGAGGATAGGAGAGGTTAACTAATTTTCCCATGGCATTCAGCTTGTAACAGACAGATAAATCTAAGGCTGAAAAATCAAGCTATTGTGAAAGTGACTAACAGCTGTACAAGTTGGTAATGCTCACTCTCAATTCATTGTTTACCATATCAGAGACCTGAAATCATCACACATTGATGGTGAGCTACAAGAAGAGAAATATGAGATGTTCAGTTCTTGTGTAGAATCTGTTTTTCCTCCGGGGGTTATAGTATAATGTAGGATTAGTCTTCATAAAGCATGTTTAAAATGTTAACATGCAAAGATTACTATCTTCTAACCAAAAGTGTCTCAACTTCAATCCTACTTTTCTTAGCTCTTTTCTCATTCAAAACTGGATTTAGTGATTGATGTGAATAAACACATTTGGGCCTCCCTGGTGGTGCAAGGGGTTAAGACACAACCTATGAAGCTATCTGCAGCCTCTGCAGCACAAGTTCAATCCCCAGCCAGGGAGCTACCCACATGGCGCACCAGACCTCACCTGCTGCTCCCCTCAGCAGTGTATTTCAGTCAATCTGCCTGTTCTGTACCCCACTCTATCTCTGGTGAATCCTCTCACCCCCCCCACACCTCTGGTCTGTATCCCAGTTCTTGTATGCATAAATACATCTTTAACAAAAAAGAGAAAAATAACACATTTATACAGAGAAGACTGGATTTAGATTAAAGAATAAGCAACCTCATAATTCTCATATTCTCTTAGAACAAGTTTCTTTAGGGCTGGATAATTATTTCTTGTTATGGGGGTAGTTCAGTGCGTTGTAGGATGTTCCATGATCTCCCTTACCTTTACCCACTAGATACCAGTAGCTACTCCTCATTTGTGACAATGGAAAAAAAAAAAAGTCTTCCAAAATGTTCTCAAATGTTCCCTGGGAAACAAAATGATGAACATGTGCTTTATATTATGAAACAAGATATAATCCCACAGTGACTTTCTAAATTTTATGTGGGCTGGAATGATCAGAAAAATTTAATATACCACTCTTTGGGCTGCACCTTGGGAGAGTCTGATTGAGTAGGTCTGCTATGGGTCCAGATAGTCACTTTTAGCATAAAAGTGACTGGGTAATTTGGGTATACATGAAAGACAGAAATACCACTACAGAGAACAGGGAACATGGGGCTGTGCTATTAGAGCAACACAAAATAACTCTCAGTAGGAAAGGTAGCCCAGGGGCCCTAGCTTGGCTGCTCCGCAGCATGAAGAACACCTGAGTCTGGGAGACAGCTGTGTTGCCAAAGCAGCCTGTGAACAATTGACTTGTACACTAATGAGGGCAATGAGAAAAGCAGCTAGTGTTGGGACATAGAATCCCCGTCTGTTAGTAAGGGTGACAATGGATCACTCATGGTTTCACTTTGAGGGCTTTTTTCCCTTTCAATTAGCACAAAGATAGAATGATTTAGTGATCAAGAGCTTGGGAGTTAACCATGTTGTTTTCAAGTTCTATCACTCACTAAATGTATATGCTTACACAAGTTACTTGATATTTTCCTAAACCTCACTTTTGTCCTTTATATTATGAGGATAATTATTGTTATCTGTGGTAGACAGAATAATGACCTTCAAAAGATGTCCACAGTTGAATCCGCAGAACCTGTGAATATGTTCCTTTACATGATAAGAGGCACTTTGTGGATGTGATAAAGGATCTTGTGATAGGGAGTAGGTCCACCTGGTAGGTCCACTGAAATTACTAACATGATGCTTAGCCTATAGCCTATTTCTGGCTTGTTCCAAGTCTCTAGGACAACCACTGTGGCTCTGGCATTAGGCAGCTTCTTTATCAAGCTTCTAGTTCTTTTGGAACTCCAGTGAGGACCACTATGCCCAGTGGAATTATGTGGATCTACTGTGCCTGTGTAGGCGCCAGAATGAAAGCTCATTTACTATACTCTGTTCAGATCTTTATCACATTACAGCATGCCATTGATTTATGGTGCATAAACACTTGCATTTTTAGATCAAGGCAAAATGAGAAAGATTTTATTCTGTTGTAGAAATGCTTTACTTGTCATTTAAAACATAATTAAGCAATGCTTTTTACAATCTTTTACACAAGATAAATGAAATTTTAAAATGGGGTAAAGACAGTCTTATTCCATAAGGAGCTCAGGTTTAATGCATAACCTTCCTGACTTTTTACTAACTACGTCATGTCTATTGCTGGTAATTTCTGAAAAAAGTGAAGACCTCAGTTACCCTTCTTAGCATAATCATGGAAAAAAATTGACGCCTATGTCAGCAGATCTATTACTTGGTAGTTCACACCTCATATTTCTGAAAACAAGCATCAAATGGAAACTGATGTTCCCTTTTTTTTGTTCTCACCTACTGGTTTAAGCATAACAACGTATATGAGAAAGATTTTGCATTTTTCAATAGAAATATTAAATATTCATTGATAGAATTTTCTTTACCTATGAAGGATGACTTAATACACTGTCATGACATTTTCACAGAAATTGCTTTAACCAATGAAACATAGTCACCCACATTAAGTGTGAGTAATTCACAATCTTTTTACCTTTATCTCTCCAATTCTCATTCATTTTTTTCTCCTTTTGCAAAAAGTATAGTCCAGAAGTCTCAGTTCTAGATGTTAAAGCTGCCCTGGGAAATTCTGCCATCAATTATTCTTTTTCTTTCTTATATGTTTAATCTCTCATTCCACTGCCTTCCTATTCTAAATTGAAGAAAAAAAGCACTGTTTGGCTTTATCTGTTTCTCAGGGGACACATCTTCAGTAACATTTTAGTATTCAAAGCAAAGTCTTCTGCTTTGGAGATAACCATGACTGGACCAAATGAATATCACTGACATTTCTCTCATTCTTACATATTATTTAATACTTGGTTCATTTTAAGCTTTACCTGAAAGAAAAATTTTAAAAATACTTTTTTTGTTGTTTTAAATGATTGTTAGCCTACCTCCCTTAAGTTCTGCACCATAAAACAAAGTACCTTTCACTTGATGTGTAATGAAGTTTTATAAATCATCTATGATCAAACTATATATCAATACTGAATTATAGTTATATAGTCTTAAAATTATGCACGTTGTTTTTTTTTTTATCATGTATCAGAGGCACAACAACATAATGATTAAAAGCTTGGACTCTGGGGCAAGATGCCTGTATTCTTAATATTTCCTTTGATGTTGTAAAATTAAATTGAACAAATATTATACTTCAAAGCAGGGCATATATATATTGCTAATTAAATGAACATGGTTTAAGTAAGGTTGGATTAGGAAAGTATGCTGAGGGGAAAGCTGTAGATCTATGAAGTTTGAATTTCCTATGGGACTTCTCAATGCTTTAAGAGTCCAAATTCACAAGAAATATCTTGAATTATACATGCCATAAATGACATTATAAATAAATAAGCAGATTCTCTTCAATTCAATATAAATTTGCAAAATTAATATTGGTATACCTTTTAAGATTAGGTGTATCTTTATATTCAGGCATTTTTCAAGGAACTAGGAGTACCTACCTGCTGAAGTTATTCTGCTATCATTTTTCAAGTAAAAGAGTATCCAAAAATGCTTAAAAGTTTTCAACAGTAGATATCTAAAACATAAATTTAAAAAATCCTTTAGTTTCCATGCTATTCAATATTGTTGCAAACATACTAGTACAGTGAGGCACATCTCCTCTCTCTACTACAACATTAAACATTTCATGTGGACTATTTTGATATATGCTTGAACAAGCAAATAAGCTGACTCTGAGAATTTCTGTGTTAAAGGCACACTTAAGTTGTTTTTTGTTTTATTTTATTTTAAATTGTATTATTTTTAATTGAACAATGGTTTACAATGCTGTAAATGATTCAGGGATTCACACCCGTTCAGCTATATGTCACCCCACCACACCCCCCACCAAGTCTCCACCATAGCCCACTCACCAGGCCCTCTCCCTACTTTGCTCTCCAACTTCCCCCACCCTCAGGCAAAAAGTATTTAGTTTGATTTTCAGTTTGCAAAGTGAGAAAACTGCATCCCCAAAGCAGTAACTTTTTCAAGGTTACAGAATCAGTTCTAACGAGTCAAGATCCAAACTCAAATTCATCTCCAAAAGTTAATCTTTCTACAATAGGTTATCTCCCTTTAGATTTGTAGTTAAATAGCTGATCCACAGATGTTGTAGTAGTGTTGATAATAGCCCCCACACCCCTTTTACTACTCAATGTGCCATCTGGTATGTTTGTAGAATGTAGATTAGAATACATATAGTACCAATAAACAACCACAAATTCAAAAATATTTTTTATCTTTATGCATTTTATTTATTTTGGGGGATACCACCATCAGGTATTACCACCATAGTACACCCAGCACCCACTCACCCATAGCGCACCACCAAAGACCATTATGCTTTCTTCCCTCTTTGTTCTAATCCCTCCCCTTCTTGGTACTTCACTTTTGTAGTCAACTATCATGGGTAGTTTTTAAGTTTGTCTTTATCCCCACATATTAGTTTTTTTTTTAAATATAATGTATATTATGCCTCTCTGTAAGGAAAGAGAGTCAACAATTTTCATCATCTCAGTGATGAGTCAACAGCTACACAGTTTTTATTAGAAGTATTTCTTCAGGGCCTCCCTGGCAGCCTATGGGTTAAGTCTCAGTGCTATCACTGCTGTGACCTGAGTTACAAATGCAACCAGGGAGCAACCCACATGGTGCGGCAGACCTCTCTTGTCTCCCCAGCTGCTCCCCTCAGCAGTGTATTTCAGTAGATCCCCCTGTTCTGCTCCCCACTCTGTCTCTGGTGAATACTCTTACTCCCACCCAAGCCTCTGGCCTATCCCCCAGTTCTTCTACAAAATAAATATTAAAAAGAAATATTTCTTGAAAATGGAGCTTTTTTTTAATTGTAAGAAAATTTTCTAAGGAGTCAGAAAGACCTGACTCCTTAGTTCTGTCAATGGAAATTCTAAAGTTTAGAGAATTAAAGCAAGTTGTTTCATATATTTAATCTCTATGTGCTAGCTGAGATCTGAATGCCTCATTGTATCATTCACGTTTTCTCTCTCTCTCTCTCTCTCTCTCTCTCTCTCTCTCTTTCTTTTACCAATTTTGGTCCAATATTTTTGTATCTTCTCCCAACCTAAATAATTTATTTCCTCTAGAGAACAGTACTTCTGCTGTTTGAGTGCATTGCAAGTTATCCGTTGCAAAAATGGATTTAAGAAAACTCCATTCTCATCAAAAGTACTTAATGAATGCAGTCTTCCAAGTCACTTTAACACAAGTGGTCTAAAACTGACATCAACCAGATATACTGCTACTCAGAAAGGAGGTGGGGAAAGCCTCTAAAATTTAAAGTGCTGCTCTTGTAGATTCTAAAAATGCTGTCTCTGCTGCCAAGAAGTTTTAGATTTCAGATGATTTACTTTTGAGAACAAATGAGGATCAATAAGAGGGCTGCAGGAGTGTAGAAAGAGAAATGAGAGGGAAAAAAAACTGAAAGAAACATAGAAAACAAAGATCTGTAGGATGGGAAAAAATAAATTAGAGGCTGCTGAAAAACTCTAAATACGAAAGTTCAGAGACTTGTTCTTTTGGTTGAAAAAATAATAAGGAACTCACCTATTCAGCATAAAAATAAATTGTGGCATTTATAGGCTGATTCTGAAGTGAATGCATCTCTCAAGTGATGAACCCTAAAGTGGAAGTAGGAAATAAACTATTGTGTCCAAGCAATATGTGGCCACCAATGCTCTTTGCCACCCACACTCCCAACAACTTTGTCAGAAGGATCATTTTAAGATAAGTAATATTTTTAAAACGAAAGTAAAAAAGTTGATTTATTTCCATCTTATAATGTTCATGCTCTCACATCTTTTCCAGAAATCTTTCCAGACCCAAAATATCGTTCTTCCATATGAGATGCTGTTCATGTTAACTATCACATGTATAGTTATTTTGCCTATTTGCTAGTAAACAGCCAGATTGTGGATCAAGATCACAATTGATTCTTTTCAGGCAAATCTCTGAGATGATGTTGCATCATTCAATAGAAAGCCCCACTACCAACCTTTGCTTGGAGGGATAACTGCTATTAAATCATTAAACTTCAACAATTATTTTTGTCTACCAGCTCCCAGAATGGATCTCATGATCCATTAACTCTTTTTAAAATCTTTACATGGAAACTTAAGTTTAAATTTGAGTTGTCGGGGCCTCCCCGGTGGCACAACGGTTGAGCGCTGGGTTGCAGAGCTGCCCGCAGCCTCTGCAGCGCCAGTTCGATCCCCGGCTGCTCCCCGGCCACCGGCGGATGGTCCCTCATGGCGCGCAGACCTCTCCTGCTGCCCGCTGCTCCCCTCAGCACTGTACTTCGTCAGTCTGCCTGTTCTGCTCCCTGCTCTGGCTCTGGTGAATTATCTTGCCCTCCTGCACTTCTGACTGTACCCAGTGCTTGTATAAATAAATAAATAAATTAATTAATTAATTAAATAAATTTGAGTTGTCACTACTGTAAATAGCTGAAATTTGCAATGATCTAAATTTCATGTGGTATAAACCCAAATGTAGTTGAGAATTTAACTCCTATATTATACTAATTGGATAAAATTAAAAGTTGTTTTTTATTTACATTATGCAGCATTAACTTAATGTCTGGATACATGGGATATATAATTTAATGTTGTAAAACCATTTTATAATATACATTATGTACTATAACCATTTATTAGACATATCCAACTAGCCCAGACTTTATATTGCCTCTGAACTAATCATGTTGTATAAATGTGATATATGGAAATACTCTATCATTTTTTTTAACTTCAAAATCACAATAATCTTGGAATTGAAAAATGTCTTGATTTTTTTACAGTATGCTTTCATCTTGAATAAGTCTAATGAAAAGAAGATTAGAAGCATTCACAGCAGTTAAAATTGTTCAAATTGTTAAAAAAAAAACTTCAAATTCCCACAATCATTTTCATTTTATTAATTGGAAACCTATTTCTTTGGAATTTATGATCATTGTTCTTAGTTCATCCCTCTGAAAAAATGAAATGGAATGTCTTACTCCTTTTTTTGATCTTCCTGTCATCCAAATGTTTAGAAAAGTAACTTCCTCCCTGCATCAAGTGCCATCTACTCTTCATAATTTCCTAAAAATTAACATCGTTTTAGGCAACATGCCCATAGCTTTTCATACTATTCATTTCCTTCCACCTGATCTAAGATGTAAGTTCTTATACCCATTTTATAGATGAAGAAGCTGAGGTTTAGAGAAATCAAGCAACCTATAAGGGGAGCTGGTTTGTGAATCCATCTTTGTGTGATTTCTGATTCAATGGTATTAAACTCTGTATCATGCCACTATCTCCATAAATTGACTGAACATCATGATGATAGAAATAAAATGAGAACCTCATGTGCCCGATGTTATTGCAGGGGAACAACATGGTGAGCCAAGAGGGCAAGCTTAGAAAGAGCTTGCCCAGTCCTTGATGTTCTGCTTCTGGAAATTTAGTGTCCCTACCCCTACTTTAGATTTTATTAAGCTTGATTTGAATAATAGTAATAAAATAGTTCATAATTTTAAAAATTAGGCAAAAAACAACTTTTTTTTTGTCATGTAGAAAATATTTTTACATACAATCACTGTGTTTTGTGAGCCCTCATGAACTGCTGGTGGAAAATCGATTTGCTTTTCCACACTGCATCATATGTAAATTTCATTAATTTGTTTACACTGAACTCTTGCTCAGGTAGCTAATGAAACTCATGTTTTGATTCTACGCTTTGGGGCTGGAAGTACACAGAGAGATAGAAAAAATTAAAATGAGACTATAAAAAGATCCATGGTAAGATTTGAAAACAAAGACATTTCCAGAGTTTAGGGAAGGAAACAAAATGCAAAACTCTGAATGGAACAAGAACCGCACACCTGCTTGGCTCCAAATTGAAACCCGGCTGTCAATCAGGAGTGGGAGACAAGAAATAGTCATGCAGGAGTCACAAAATTTAGATTCAGAAAGTGCTACAAATACAACAGAGCCACAATTCTTAATTGGATCCATTTCATGGGTTAAGTATAACATGTTAAATTGCAAATAGTAAAACTGCCTCTTTTACTTTTCTGTGAAATATTTGTGTGGTATGGAAGTTATTTACAGTAGGTAAAATCTCCCACCTTTCATTGCGGTCTGCAATCAAATTTGTAGAGACATATTAAGAGAGCTTTTGTTAATTTTTAAAGAAAGTGAAAATAAATGAATTGGAATATCAAATAGTATCCTACAAAGTTTGCATTTGCACCCATGTTTATACTATCACTTTGTCATTGTCGTATCAGACAATGAAAACATAGATATTCATATTTTTAACTAGTCTACCAATTCATAGGTCAGACAATGTAGAAACTCTCAGACTGGTATAATGATAGGTTTAGAGACATTATATAAAGAACATTTTAGATCAGTGATTTTCACAAATATGTTTACAAACCAATTATGTCCATAAATCCCTCACAGAGTTGTTATTTACTGAGACACATTAAACTTGACTCTTAAAGCATCCTTATAGTTCCAATTCATGAAATATCAACACTTGATTCAAGTATGAGCACTTTAGTAAAGAAATACAATCTTTATAGAAAAATTTCCCATGGAAGATAGCATGTATTTTGTTGTAGTTGAGAAATTCAATATCACTAATAATAAGATGAAGGGATGTTAGTTACAAAAGGTGAATGTCTGGTAAAATAATGCTTTAGGGGGGAATAGGTAAAGAGGTATTTTTCCATCATTACGGGTAACATTTTAAGGATTCTAATGGTCTGGTTAAATGATGACCAAGCCATCTTTGAATCATGGAGAAGTGTGTTTACAGTAAATAATAATGTTTCTACACCACACTTTTTTTTCAAAACTCATTATTTTATATATTTAAGGTTAGTTTGCCAACATAATCAATGTTTCATTTCCCCAAATCCCTATACATAATTTATGAAAAAAGAAAAGTGAAACAAGCTAAAAGGGGCTAAGGAGACTTGAAGAATGCTTTTTGAATTTGACCCATTAAAACATTGATATTAATATTTTTAAGTTGTCTCTTATGACAGTTATATCTACATATAATTAAAGTAAAATAACTCCAGAGGGTTTCTGATGAAAAATATTCATCTCTGCTACCAAGTTCCTTTACCTCTCTCCTTTCTAAAGTTTCCTTTCAGATCACTGTTTTTTAAATCACCTTCTTATGGTTCAATTTATGTATGCAATTGTATTTAGAATTTTAGGTTTAAAAACTGATTTTCCAAAATAGGAGATGAAGAATTAACAGTGCAAATTCTATTTGTGGCTAGTTATACAGTAAGTTATGATTACTTTAAATTTCACTAAAATTCCCGTGTTTCCTGTAATTCACAGTTGCTCCTTTTGTTGTTGATATTTGCTTAGTTTTTAATGTACATTATACGTTTTTATTATATTCATTGATGTCAAAATCTTATATTGAAACATACAGACCCATCAGCTACTCTATGAATTTTATTTTTGCAAAGATGTCTCTAGGAACCCTTGGGGCTGATCTATTCTGGACTGCCTGCCTTCTATGCTGGATGCATTGTTGTCATTTGAGATTTCTACTGACAATTTCCTGGAGACTCCATTAGAACTCTAGCTTAAGTATCCTAGATTGTCTTCCTACTTTCGCTCCTTTGTTTTAGTGGACAACATCCACCAGAACCATCCAAGAAAAGGCAAATGGGAGAAAAGTCTTTCAGAATGTTAAATAGAAGATATACTTTCATTCTTGAAACTTGTTTAGCTTTGAATACTATTCAAAGTTGAAAATAACTTTACATCAACATTTTTCAAGCTCTGCTGCCCCATTTTTCTTTGTCCACAGTCTGGAATTTGATAAGCATTGATGCAGTTCTACTTGCAAACATCGTGCTGGACCTGTTAAATTATGTTCTTTTTTATGGGGACATCTTGTCTTAATTATTTTATATATTTTTTCCTCATTCTCTTTTTCAGAAATAGCACATATTCAGATGTAAGACTGGAACAGACCTCTGATTATCATATCATCTCTCCCCAATTTTTCTTATCTTTTCCTTTTGTTCTCTTTCAAGGAGATTTCTCCAAATTTATATTCCAATACATCTATTAAATTTATTAGTTCTGCCATCCTTGCTTTAATTTCCTATGGTTCAATTACCAGACTGTCCTTTTTATCTTTTATACAGTAAGTTTTTTTTTTTTTTTTTATGGTTGCAATGTAATATCTTTTTTTTAACTCTCTGATGTTACTAATGCTAGCTCTTTTTAAAATCTTTTCCACTCTTTGCATAATTCTACTTCATTCAAATTATTTTATTTTTGCTTTGTTCTCTTTTAGAAATTTCCTTCAGATGTCTGGTAATCCTTCGTTGTCTATTCACATTTAAAGTGGGGAATGAAAAGTTGACTTTAAACCCTTAGTTTGTGGATGTAACTTGTCTCCTGTGAGCCTCACTCTAGGGTAATATGCTTGGCCTATTTAACTGGGGGAAATTTAGCTGTCAAGGTATTTGTGTCTTTGGAGATGATTACCTATCCCAGAAGAGAATCTGGTAATTTTCTATCTGTAGAAAAAAAATAAAGAAGAAGATATATTTGCTAGCAATTGCAGAATGCTATAGAATTGTGTCTGGATATCTCAGAAAACAGAATACTTAATTAGCTATTTAATCCTACTGTATTAGTACTAGTCTAATTAGGAGACAGAAATCACATAGTAATTAGAACAGGGAGTGTAAAATATAAAGAATTATTATTGGGCATAAATAGTGAAGACAATTCTAAGGACTATCTTTGGCTGAGGGAATGTGCCAAAGAAAAGAACAAACTTGGAAGGGAGGTCAAGGAAGGTTTTTGTTGTTAAAATTGGAGGTCAGATTTCACTGTAAAGTTGTGGTTACAGCCTCACAGTAGTGGAGAGGTTCAGATGCCATAGGTCACAGCTTGGTCACAGTTGCTGGACAAATAAATCACATCTCTGAGATAAAGGTGGCTGAGGCTGGTGGGCAGGGAACTGCAGAGAGAACTAATAAGTAATATACCTTCTGGGTACACATGGGCAGAGTACAGACTTGAACAAAGAGAAAACACCCCTTTAGCTGCAGACAGTTGAAACTGTATAATGACCTCTATGAACCACTGGTGTGGATCCACTAGAAATCCACCCAAGAAGCAGCTGCTGAAACATACTAGGAAGCTCTGTGGTTACATTGCTGCTGCTGAAAATTGACAGGGGCTGAACATCTCTGTTGTCTGCCTCCTGAGCTCTTGATGGCTATCAGAAGAGATAAAAAGAAGCAATGGAAGCATATCAGAAGCAGAAAATAAGCCCTTCTCCCAGTACCCCTGCAATGCCCTCTACTGATAAAGTCTAACACTCTGTCTGTCACAAAGGATAAATTTTATTAAGATTCAGCTCCACGATCACCAAAAAGGTCATAAAGTATAGATTTAGAGCTATGACAATAAACCAAAGATGAGAACACCCACTTCTCCTTTTACCTAGTACCTTGCTAATTTTCTCAGTCCAAAGCCCTTCTCGTTCTATACTCTCCAGAAAATAAAGCCACAGTCAGTTGCTGGCTTCAGAAGGGCTGTTGACTGGAGTGGCTCTCTGCATTGACTGGAAGAGGGGAACTAAGACTCTGGCTGCTTCTTTAGCAGAGTCCCTACATATTTTTATTATCTTAGAAAATATGAAGCCACCAGCCTTTTATTTCTGACACTAGTACCACAGTCATTTGGAGGTCTATGTAACATAACTTTGACTTCATTTCCCCATACTTTGACATAGGATTCAGTTTTCTTAGATTTGCTAAATTGTATACTTAGATTTACTTTCAATTTTTCAGGCTACAGTGCAAACTGAAAATGTGGGTGTCCTTGGTCAAAAATCATTAAGAATTTCAAACCAGGGATAGCAGCTTATTAAAACAACTGCAGGGCCCTCTCAGTGTGGGGTCCTATGCCACTGCCCCTCTTCGTACTCATGAAGCTGGTGTTGTTGCCTTGCTAGTCCTCCATTCCTCTTCAAAGTTCAAGATTCTTGTTATTTCTTTCAAGTGTTTCATATCCTTGCAACAGTAAGCCTTTAAAACTGTGTAGTCTTACAAGCTTTATTTTCTTGGGCTCCCGAACAGTGTGAGACTAGATGTATTTGTTTACTCTGCCATCTGAACCTGAAATGATGACATTTGCATACCTAATGTAATGAAGGGTTTGGTTTTTCTCATTTCACTGAAGCTCTCAAATTCTGATTTTCTATATGGAGATATGAAAATATAAATGTTTACATTTTATACTAAAAAAAAGGGAAGTATTTACTGTTCACTCCCAGCAGTTAATTTGACAACAAACTCCACTTAATCTTCCTAGAAATGTCTAATGTAACATGATGAAAAGAATGAAAGAGAAAAACAAAATTCTATTTTTTTTCAATTGCCTTATATCCCCTCCATATTCTCTCTCTTCCTTTTTATTATTTTTGGTATTGAATACAATGGAAACCATTCAATAGTAAAGAATATTTTGCTCTAGAAAATGGAATTCAATTTTTTTGGAATTTAAGGCTGAGCCTTTAAATTCACATACAATAAATAACATTTATTTTCTCTGTAAAATTCAATTTAATTTCCATTTTGAGAGTCACCTATTTTCCAGACTGATTTATTTTTTTTTTAGTTAGCAATTATTGAACTTTTCCTCTTCTATTAGGTCTTTTCTATCTCTTCTTTCTGAGTATTTAAATTCATATTAAACTCACAGTTTTAACATACAAATTAATAACTCCCAGTGGCTTATCTTGCTCATGGAAACTTAAAAATGGGTGTTCTTCATTAGTCGGAAGATCTTAGTAGGAAGATCGATCTACTCTAAGTGGAAATTAAGGTCTTGAGTTCTTCCATATTTTTTAGTTTCATAATTTTAAAAACCCTGGCTTCCAAGGTCTTGGAGGGGGTGGGGAAATGTATGCTATTCTGTGGGAGTTTATTGGCATGTATAACATCAGATCTCATTTTGACATGGGGCAGCAAGGGCACTAAAACTGACCAAGGACATTGCCCAAATAATTAGCCAATCACTGTCTGGGTTCTTCACCCCAGCACACAATTGCAAGAATACTCAGGTTCAGAGAACAACAATAATGGGATTTATATAACAAACAAGGAGAAAGAAAGTCACAGCTGTTTACCTTGCCTGAAGCAGTTTCCAAGGTCTTACAGTCCTAATGCAATGGCTCCCAAGATGGTATCTTCCTGCCACTAGGACACAGAGCACGTGGCAGCCAGACTATAGGCCAGATCCAGCTCACAAAGACAGCAAAAGACACAAAGATCTCACCAGAGCTGCTGAGATCAGTCAGCACAGCACCAGACAATGGACATTCGAAAGAGTGGATCTGGGGCCTCTCTGGTAGCGCAGGGGCTAAAGACACAGCACTATCATGCTATCACCAGCCACTGCAGCACGAGTTGGATCCTCAGCAGGCCAGGGAGCTGACCCACATGGTGTAGCAGATCTCTCCTGTCTGGCCCGCTGCTCCCCTCAGCAGTGTATTTCAGTCAATCCACCTATTCTGCTCCCCACTCTCTCTGGTGAATCCTCTCACCCACCGCACGTCTGGGCTTATACAAGAGCTATCCCCCAGCTCTTGTATGCATAAATAAATAAATCTTTAAAAAAAAAATAAAAGAGCAAACACAGCTTAAGAGGTGCCCGGCTCTGGGTCCTTCCCTTCCAGGTTGTAACAGCAGCAAAGCTGGGAACAGTTTCAGTCGCTCAGCAACTTGCAAAGTCTCCAAACTGTTCTCTGAGGATGGCTGCTGGAAGCCTCTCCAAGTCCTTCAAAGGTCCACAACTGCCTTCTGGAAGATCTGCATGGTGGTTGAGGAAATGGATGACCCTGGAATCTCTGAATATTCAAAAACATTGAAATTCCAAGGGCTGAATCCTGGGGGCTGCTTCTGCAGTCCCTTTTATTTCTTCTCAGCATTTCCACCCCCACCCATACTTTGTTAGTATTTCACCTGGGGCTATTTATTCTCACCAGCACCACCCTCAAGTGGGCACCACCTGTAACAGTCTTTGGCTTAAGCTCCTAATTACAATTTCATTAGCAAGACCTTAACCATATTCTTCTTCTTCATGACAAAAGAGGCTAGATCGAAAAAAGTGTAACTCTATATCCAAAACTGTAGAGAAAAGGGGCTTGAGAAGTTACCTAGCAAATCTTTGCCACACCAGGATCTCCAAGAAGTTCTTGATTGTTATTTGATAACAAGCTAATTTCCTGCAACTGCTTAATTTTTTTTTTTTTTTTTTTTGCGGTGAAGTAAAATCGTTTTTATTTTATTTTTTTTTATTTTTTTTTACCAGTAGTCCTTTTATTTTATTTATTTTTTTTAATATTAAATTTTATTTTTATATTCCCCCATACAATTGCAAACGCCCAATTCTGACCCCAATCCTTTCCCCCCCCCCCCCCAAAAAGTGTCTCTGGTTCATAGTTTTTTGTTGATTTTGATTTTCACTTTCTTATATTCATTTTCCTGGTCCCTTATTTAAGTTTTCTAGATTCCTGCTATGAGTGAGACCCAACTGCTTAATTTTAAATGCTTCACGGTGAGATGGTAGCATTTCCTACTTCAAGTTTATGAAATGCTTTTATCTAAAATTAAGGAAATCATTCTTTCTCTCAAAACATATAGTTCACATCAAGATAAATTATTACATTGTCAGTAGAACTTTGACTCTCTGTACACATACAATGTTATGATAAAGTCTATTTTATGTAAACACTGTCTCTCATTATTGTGACACAAGCTTTAAGAAAAATCACTGGGTTGAATGAGAAAAATAAGCTGCAAGTCTTTTTTCATTGTCTCTCACAGCCACTTTGTTACCGAACCTATTAGTTTTTCCACAAAGAGAAAATTGATGCTGAGTATCCAGTAGCTAGAGGTCAGATGAATTGATTTATTTCCATGAGCATTCATCAATGCTTATGCAGTATAAAGTTTCAAGTGGCTAGCATCAGTGGCAAACCAAAGAGAAAATAATATTGTTGAAAGGAGCAGTGGTACTAGTGTCCAAGAACCCATCAGATAAAAATGAGAATTAATGAGACAGCAAATTGAGATTCCCTGGAAATCACATCTCCATGATTTTGTATTAAGGTAAGAGGAGTTAGTGTCTATAAGAGTTACTTCAGTGAAGAAAGGGGAATCTGTTCATTAAGACGTTTTGGGCCAGTGTGGGTGAATTTCTGCCTCTCATTAGAAGAGCACTGTGCTTTCCCCTAATGTCCCAGTTCACTGGATGTTTCATCTTTGGTGAAAAAGAGATTGCTAAAAATATCCTAAAATCCCATTGTGTATTGTATGTTGTACAGGCAAATTGTAAGTCCATAGTTTTCAAAATCTGCATTATAAAGTTTTGCAGAATAAATTGTTATCTGCAAAAACAAACCAGCATAAAGGTACTAAATCAAAACTTGGACATTTTTAGTGTTTCTTGCATTTAAAATATGAAATTGAAATAATTGAAGATTAACAAATATAGATTTAATATTTTCTCTTCTATGAGAATGCTTTTAGAGCAATCGTTTCATTTTATTTGCAAATATAAGCAAAATAATTACATGATAAGCTCTTTTTTGGTGGCTCTAGGTCTTGCTTCTCAGAAAGAATCCATTTCATTTGTTTTCATAACATGGATCCACTTGAAGTTCAGTGATTTTTTTCAAATAGTTTTCCCCACACTTACTAATCATTGTTTGGTGTTCCTGTTTCTTATATCACTGCCTTCCAGTGCAAATAGCATGTATAATCAAAGGCTATGTTTTTTTTTTCTTTTTTTTTTAAAGATTTATTTATTCATACATACAAGAACGAGGGTACAGGCCAGAGGCACGGGAGGGTGAGAGGATTCACCAGAGACAGAGCAGGGAGCAGAACTGGCAGACTGACTGATATACACTGCTGAGGGGAGCAGCGGGCAAGACAGGAGAGATCTGCTTCGCCATGTGGGATTCTCACCAACTGGCTGGGATAGAACCTGTGCTGCAGAGGCTGTGGACAGCTTCACAGTGGGGCGCTCAACCGCCTGTGCCACCAGGGAGGCCCGTTTTTAATTTTTTTAATTTATCTTTAATCATTCTTTTCATCAATGCCTGAAGAATTCCCAATGACCTCTTCTTACCCAAAACATTAATAAATTTAAGGTCTTAATGATTCAATGCTATTTTTATATATATTTATCAAATATCAAACTAGTCTCATCATTGACCCAGAACTACAACACATTTATCCTATCACCATGGTTTTGTTTATGTCATTCTTAGAACCACAAATGCCCTAATTACTTTATTCTCTATTTAAATGTTATTCCTCTTCAGTTGAAATCTTATAAGTTCCATAGGATGTGTAAGACTTCTACAGGCGGCAACCCTGTTATTCCTCTTTGCGACTGTGGATTGAGTTGTTATCCAATGATCTTCATGCTTCAGCAATGCTTTTAGATACTTTTTTATAATAGAACACTGTTAAATTGCCAACTATTTTTAATATTAAAAATGAAAGCATGGAAAATAATATGATGTATTAAAAATCCATGCTAAATGTTGGAGATAATTTAAATTGATAAGAATTTTTGTAGTGCAACTCTGACCATTTCTGTTATGTACTGAATAATATCCTTGAACCAATCAATTTCTGAAACCCCATCTTATTTTTTTCTGCAGAGTATTAAACACCTATAACTCAAAATATTTGAATGGATCTAGTTAAACAGATCTCTTTTTATAAAACAAATGCTTTATTTCCTCAATATGTAATGAGCTTGTGAAAATTAATAAACAGACCAATAATATGATTTTTAAAATTGGCAAGTTTGGGGCCTTCCTGGTGGCACAGGGGTTAAGCACAATGCTCTGGAACTGTTCGCAGCCTCTTCAGTGCAAGTTCGATCTCCAGCCAGGGAGCTACCCACATGGTGCAGCAGACCTCTCCTGACTTGCCCACTGCTCCCCTCAGCAGTGTACTTCAGTCAGTCTGCCTGTTCTGTTCCCCACTCTGTCTTTGGTGAATCCTCTCACCAAACACACCTCTGGCCTGTACCCCAGTTCCTGTATGCATAAATAATCTTTAAAATAAAATAAAATAAAATTGGCAAGTATATGAACAGACAGTTCATAGAAAAGCAAATAAAATTATGGAGATATCTTTTGTAAAAAAAAAGTTGTTTAATCTGAATGCAATGAAATCACTGAAGATCAAAAAACCGGTGGTTTTTTATTACAGTTTTAGATTAGCAAATATCGCGGTGCTTTTTTAAGTTCTGTAGGAGACAAATAGGTTGAAATATATGGAGTTATTGCTAGTAGGAATATATAGGGCCATTTGTAAAACTAAATAAGGAGATAATCTAAACCTTGTATAAAAGTATGTGCCAGGGCCTCCCCTGGTGGCGCAGGTGGTTGAGCACTGTGCTGTGAAGCTCTCCGCAGCCTCTGCAGCATCAGTTCAATCTGGGCCGGCCGGCGAGGGTCCCACATGGCGCCGCAGACCTCTCCTGTCTCACCCGCTGCTCCCCTCAGCAGTGTATTTCAGTCAGTCTGCCTGTTCTGCTCCCCACTCTGCCTCTGGTGAATCCGCTCACCCTCCACGCATCTGGCCTGTACCCCAGTTCTTGTATAAATAAATACATAAATCTTTAAAACAAAATAAAAGGACATGCCAGTTATGAAAATGTAGAATCTAGTTTTGATGCTCTACTCATATCCTCTCTATATAAGAAGACTCCGTCATGCCAACAACTTTTATTGTATTTGAGGCTATATTTTTTCTCTCTCTACTTCTAAGACATGCTCAGAACACATCCAGAGAAATCCAAAAGTGCTGGAGAATTAAGGTCACTCAGTTAGCAGGCTAAGGTCAGTGATGGATTGGATGGGAAGTTGCTGGATTGATGTCAGCCCTGGAATTGGAATAACTCTAGGCGGGTCCACACCATGCCAAAGTCCCCCAGCAGCACCCTGTGGCTCACAGTGATGTTTCTTAAAGCTGCACTCTTCCTTGGGTTTTCTCCATCCCTTGTGTGTCCTTCCTTACTCATGTTTACACTGGCCATGATCACTACCAAATAAACTACTTGTACCTAAGATCTTTTGTAAAGTTCTGCTTCTGGTAGAACTCAAACTAAGACATACCCATCTCAAACTCACCTACTTAAGGAAAGGAATTGGGAAAAAACATAAATGTCTATCTATGAAAACTGACTCAACACTTTAAGTGCATTCTTTCAAAGGAATAGTTTGTTTCCTTTAAAACAATGGATATCACTTTTTATATGCTGAAAACAAATGTAATCTGAGCTTTTATACCAAGTTTTAGAAAGCATGTAAAACAAGACGGAACTTGGATATGTGCTTAATCATATTGTATCTCAGATAAAATAAAAAAAAAAACTATCTCTGCTATTACAACATCTTGGAGGATATAAGGATATATATGCCAGGAATTCAATATTTTGCTATAAGCATTTTTGTGTTTTCATTTTTATTCCATGTATCTGTTCAAATGTTGAATAATAGAAATTTGAAAAATGGATAAACAACTTTCTGCCTATGTAACTGTAGGTTGAATTTCACTTGTTAGTAAGGCCTTGAGAAAACTGACCTTGATAGAAGTGTAAATATGCATTCCAAGCTTATTGTGCTAAGATTCTGTTATTCCTCAGTAAACCTCAATCTGAAGTTTTAGATGTAAGAGAGATTTCATACACAGGTTGCCCAGCATAACCTGCCATGAAAACAAAGAATAAACCAACAAGAGACAGCAGCAACAAAACAACTGACTTCCTAACAT